CCATAGGTTGTTACAGCCTCCTTTAACTGCTTCACTGTTTTGAAATCTAAAGCACGGTGAATTCGCTGCCCTCCTGCCTGCTCAAGTACAGGGCATGCTAATCTTTGAGGTCCTGTCTCAGGATCCCATCTATCAACTACGGGGTTTGAGGGCCACTCAGCTATCTCCATAGGGGGAGCTGTTAGTTGAATTACGCCCTCTGGTGATAGAACGGTGTTAGTAGCAGCCTCCTGTTGTAGCTGTTTCTCCTCTAAGCTTTCTTCCTTTAAATTTTCTTCCTCTGTCTGACTACCTTGAGAGACCTTCTCTTTTGCTTGATCTAAAATGTCTTTCTCCATGGTCTGAACCTCTAACAATTTACTTAACACTCTTTCAGTTTGTTTTTTACTAATTTCTAATCTGTTATAAAGATAACGCAACCCAATAAGATAACACAAAACAAAACCGAAACAAAAACGGAACAAAAAATTGTTGTATCAATTTTCCTATTTTCTTGATATGTGCATTTGTGGTCTATTTCTATCTCTTCCTCAGGGGTGAACAACTTCAAACCTTGAGCCAACCATTTTTCCCAATCTGCCTGAGAAAATTCTAGGGATAGGCAGCTTGAAACAAACACAAAACAAATCAAAACAAGAACACATTGTTTTTTAAAATGGTCACCCATTCTCTCGCCTTCCCTTAGGGGCAAGCAATTTCACTTACCCCGAAGCTTCAGACGTTCCCCGTTCGGGCCACCAATTGCCGCAGTCTGGCTGGGCGCAAATCACGAGCCACTGAAGCAGGAACAAACTTTATTTTTGAACTGCAGGAAAACTCTTCACACAGCTCCCGGTGAATCCTCCCGAATGCCACACAGCTCATCCAGGAACCCCCAGCCGGAAATATCTGTCCCGGAAATCCTCCTCCTGCACTTCCCCAACCAATGGGAACTCTCGGGGAATCCCCGGAAATCCCCACGAGAAAAAAGTAGTGGCAGAGGCGGATAGTAATGTCAGTCAATACTGTTGGCAAAATGCCAGGGGCCATACAGACTCGGCCGTGGCTCTCAGCAGCCAGAGACTTGAGAGGCTGAGGCAGAGGATTGCAGGTTCAAAGTCAGCCTCAGCAACTTCAACTGTCTCTGAAAATAAAAAGGGCTGGGGATGTGGCTCAGTGATAAAGCATCCCTAAGTTCCATTCTCAATACCAAAAAAGAGTGCCAACCACCGGCGTGCTCTTGCTTGTTCACCTGTGGAGGTCACTGTTTCACTGTCTCGTCTGGTTTCATATTTGCAGCTGGGCCTCTGCTGGGTGTCCTGGACCTTGTGGACCATGGCAGTTGCTCTGCCGAGGACCTGTTCTTGAGCAGTGTGATCAGATCGGTCATCACAGACCACTGTTGCCCTCGTGCTGTTGCAGCTTGTCCTCCTCCTCCTCTGTGTGGGGAGATGAACAGCTGGGTGAACAGTGGCTACCCACCTGTGGTCCAGGTTGTCTCATTGGTATCACGATTAAAGTGAAGGTGACATGCAGCAGGACTGGAGGGCAGGCAGAGGTGTGTTGGGCACTAGTCAGGGGACAGGAACGTTTCGGTGGCTCCTTACCTGTTCATCCATAGATCACCTCCTGAGTGGCAGGTTTTTGAGAATATACCTTTTCTTTTTAACTTTCCTTGTACGTAAACACAGATCTATAGGTTTTTTTTTAATTGTAGTTATAGATTAACAGAATGCCTTTATTTTATTTGTTTATTTTTATATGGTGCTGAGGATCGAACTCAGTACCTTACACATACGAGGCAAGTGGTCTGCTACTGAGCTACAGCACCAGCCCTCTATAGTTGTTTTTGCTCAACTTCTGACCTCCTCTTCCTTTTGAATTATTGTATTCTTTTTTTATATATATTTTTTTTAGTTGTAGATGAACACAATACCTTTATTTTATTTATTTATTTTTATGTGGTAATGAGAATCGAACCTAGTGCCTCATTTGTATGAGGCAAGCGCTCTGCCACTGAGCCACAATCCCAGTCCTTGAATTATTGTATTCTAAGCATCAGTTTATTAGAGAAAATATTAAGTGAGGTTTCTGGACATAAGTTGCTGCTGACAATTCCACAAGCTCAGCATGGTGGCCACGTCTGTGATCCCAGCTACTCTAGAGCTGAGGTGGGAGAGTAGTGAGTTCAGGGGCAACCTGGGCAACAAGGGAGGCCCCCATCTCAAAAATATATTAATTCAACAAAAGTTTACTGAACGCTGCTAAAACGTCAGGCAGTAGCTTGGTTGATAGACAGGAGGGCTTCAGGGGGAGGCTCCTGATGTTTCTCCGTAGCTAATCATATCCTTGGAATGCTTTGCAGTGTGGGAAGTGCTGCTTGCAGGCAAGGTGTGACCCTGTGAAGGCAACTGGATTCTTTCTCAGGTGACTGCCTTGTGAGTGGTGGCCAGTCTTGTTTTCTCACATAATTTTGTGAATCGCAAGGGTGGAATGTTTGTTTTCCTTAGTGCACAGACATGGGAATGCCGTCTGTGGCCAGGCAGAGTGCTGATGGTAGGTGGAGAGTGCTGCTGCTCCTGCCAGCTGCTCCCGGACTGCATGCTGGTTCTGCTGGCGTGGGGTTATATTTGCTCCCTTTCCAGTTCATCAGTGATGGAAACGGTTGGACTTAAAGAAGCCATCAGTTTTACTTTTCTATGTTTTAGGCTCAGCATCACTGTTGCTTCTTTTTTCTTAGTTAATTGAGGAAAGGTGAAATCTCTGGGGGGTTCCCATGTTTGCAGTGCTAGGAATTTGTTCCATTTGAAATGGGACAGTGACCGGACAGTATCCTCATTCTTTCCACACTGTGACTGATTTCTTCAGATGTTTTTAAGGGTTCGTTGGTGGCCGTTGTTCCTGCTGTGTACTCTGCTGGAGTGGAGAGGGAATTCAGAGTGACACACAAGCTTCTCAGCCTGTTTTGTGCTCTGTGTCCCTGGTCCATCCCACTTGATGGCAGCCGACTTCTATGTGGCTCATCACGGATTTCAAATAAAGTTTCCCCAGTTGATTTTGTGTCTGGCATTCTTGTTTTTAAAGCAAATGAGCCCAGGGTACTCAGGGCAGAGTAGCAGTACCTGCCTGTGCCCCACGACACCTTCTTCCCCCAGAGATGTTGTGGGGGTCCTGCCTGACTCAGCTGCCCTGTGGCTGTGCTGTCACTTCAGGGGCCCTCCTTCTCCCTCCTTCTCGACTTCTGCTGTCTGTTCTTTCTAGAGTGTTCCTCTTCCCTAGTCCCCAGCAACCTTTTCTTACAATTGATCCTTTTTTTAGCCTCTGTTTTTTTTTTTTTGTTTTGTTTGTTGGTTGGTTGATTTGTCATACTGTGGATGGAACCCTTGGGGAACTCTACCACTAAGCTGGGGTGACAGTTGAATGCCACCGTGACTGGCTAGCTTATGTTTTCAGACCCTTCATGATAGGATGGACTGTCCCTGTGGCCTGGGCACTTTCCATCCTTATGCCTTGGCCTGTCAGTGGCTCACTGGGTTTGCCTGTCCAGTCCCCATCATGGGATAACCTACAGTGGACAGAAGCTGAAGAGCCCAGCAGGATAGCTGTAGACCCTCCTGAGGGCCACTCCCATACCTGTTCATGTCTACACTGCTAGTTGGCACCACCTAGACTTTAGTCCTTAAAGCCTGGGAACCTGGGACTTGGATGATGTTGTGACTCGTCGGGTTTGCCTTAGGGTTGCCCTTAAAACCCTCCTTGTCTTCATGATGGAATACTTGTGTTATAAGCATGCTTGTTGGCTGGCTCCTTTCCCTGTGAAGATGGCCTGCATTCTTCCCTGAATGTACCTGCTTTCCTAAATAAATCTCTCTGAAAACTAAAATAAATTGCGATTGTTTTAATGTATATAGAAATACTAAAGAATTTGTGATTTTTTTGTGAAAATTTCACAGAGAGCCTCATGGTTTCAGATGTTTTTGAGTAACGGAGGATGTTGAAGGTGGAACAAAGATCTGACTTGGAAAAGTTCCCAGGAAGCCAGAGGCCCCCAGTAAGGGCCAGGGAAAGAGGAGCCACTCGCCTGTGAGTGCTTCTGGGACTGGGTTGCCACTTTGGCACATGGGAGCTGGCCTGTGTCTCCTGCCACAGGACATCTTGAGAATACTTTCCACCTTGGGGTTGGGAAGGGTTTCTTAAACATAAGCAGAAAAGGGAAAAATTGATCGATTAATTCAGAAAGATTTTATATGATTATTTACATAAAAATTAAGAACTTATAGTGCCTGTCCTCCCAGCTACTCAGGAAGCTTAGGGGGGATTGGGAATTCAAGGCCAGCTTGGGCAACATGGTGAGAGCCTGTCTCAAAAAACAAAAGAGTAGGGCTGGGGTTGTAGCTCAGTGATAGAACACTTGCCTGGCATGGTTCAATTCTCAGCACTGCATATAAATAAATAAAATAAAGGTCCACTGATAATTAAAACAAATACATACTTTTTAAAAAGATTGCCTGGGTGTGGTGGCACATGCCTGTAATCCCAGCAGTTTGGGAGGTTACGGCAGAAAGATGGTGAGTTCAAAGCCAGCCTCAGCAAAAGCGAGGCACTGAGCAACTCAGTGAGACCCTGTCTCTAGATTAAATATAAAACAGGGCTGGGGATGTGGCTCAGTGGTCGAGGGCCCCTGAGTTCAATTTCCAGTACCAAAAACAAAACAAAACAAAAAAGAGCAGCTTCATATAGCTGTTGTTAACAATGTGCATATAGCTAACACTATACTACCATATCCTTGAGAGAGGAAGCTTTATGTTATATGTCTTTTGAACAGTATAATTTTTTAAAATTTAAAATTAAAGGCTGGGGGAAGGGGGTTGGGGTGGTAGAGTGCTTGCCTCACACACATGAGAAACTGGGTTTGATCCCTAGCACCACATTAAAATAAAAGCATGCTGTCCATCCACAACTATAAATAGATAGATAGATAGATAGATATGAAATAAAATTAAGGGTTGGAGGTGTAGCTCAGTGATAGAGCACTTGCCTAGCCTGCATGAGGTTCTGGCCTTGATCCCCAGCACTACGCAAAAACAGTAACACCAAACGTGTTAAAAGACATCACAGTAAGTAAAATGAATTTGGAGAAGAAGAATTTGTAAAACATTTGTGACCAGTATAATGGAGTCCTGGGTATCGACATGGTCGACAGCAGGCCTGGGCACTGTGCAGACGCCACAGGTAGGAGAACCTGAAGCACCCGAGTAGCTCTCAGAGCTATGGGAGTGAGGTGGCACCTGCCACCCAGCAGTCCCACTGCTGGCCACCTGCCCTGAGCAGTCCTCCCCAGATTGCATGTGTTTGATTCCAGTCTGCTACAAGTTGTGGTGCCAGTCACTAACAGCACATTTGAAGTGCAAGCCCAGACATTGTCCTTTCCTCGTCTGAATTAGTGTGTGGAGACCAGTGGGTCGCCACCACAGAGCACACAGCACCAGCACGCCACCTGCCTCTGGCAGCTCTCTCTGCTCTCTGTGGCCTGTTTCACCTGTTGAGAATGTCATGCAACAGCATGCCACCGTGGGGACAACCTTTCACACAGCGCTAAGCCTTTGAGGGCCATCCACGCCATGGATGAGCAGTGCTCCCTTGTGTGGTGGCTCCCTCTTTGTCATCCAGTCACTAGCTGAGTGGTATCTAGTGGCTTCTGGGTTTGGTATTTATAAATGTTCCCATACTTGTCACTTTAAGGAAAGTGCCCTGTCTTTCCAGAGTGGCTGTCCTGCACTCCCAGCAGCATGCACAGGGCTTCCCTCCATTCCCACCAGCACTCAGCATGTCACATTGCTTTTGAAAGCAGTTCTTTGTTTTGTGTTTCTGAGACGGGCTCTTGCTATGTTGCTGCTGTGATTTGGATATGAAGTGTCCCCCAAAGACTTGTGTGTCGAAGCCTTGGTCCCAGTGCTGCAGTGTCCAAGGTGCATGTTCTTTGCAAGTAATCCTCCCATGAGGACTCTGGCCTCCTCAGTGGACGGCTCTGCTGCAGGGCTGAGTGGACTATTGGGAGGCGGGGCCTAGGTGCAGGCACTGGATCCTTGAGGATGTGCCCATGGGGACTAGGGTCTTGTGCCAGTCCCTTCTGCCTTTCTTCAGGCTCAGAGTAATGGAGCCTGCCAACCCTGCTCTGAAACTGTGAGCCAAAATAAACCTTTCCTGTTTGTTAGCTTTTTGTTGCTGTGACCATACCTGAGGAGAATAGCAACGGAAGGGGAAAGGTCTATCTGGGCTCACGATTTCAGAGACCCAGTCCACAGCAGCTGGCTCTTGCTCAGGGCCTGAGGTGAGGCGGAGCATCGGGGCCCAGGAAAGCAGTGAGGAGGAGTGAGGATTGGAGAAGTCCCCAGAGGCCCCTTCCTCCGCCACATTGCCACCTAAGGGTCCCTTCAGGTTATGGATCCATCAGGTGGGTTTATCAACTGAGAGGTCACAGTACACATGAGCTAGTTACCTCACCTCTGAACATTCCTGTATTGTATAACACGTGAGCTTTGGGGGGACATTAAAGATCCAGACCATAACTCTTCCTTGAGTGGTTTTTTCCTTAGGTTTTTCACTTCAGTAAGGAAAAGCCGACTAACAACACATACCAATGTCGCCGGGGCTGACCTCTGACTCGCAGTTCTCTGCCTCAGGAGGACAGGGCCGTGTGCCTGGCAAAGCCGTTCTGTTGCATGGTAGGTCTCCGGTTTTGCCTTCCACTTGCAGACATGTGCACTCTGCTGTGCGCTTGCTGTGTGATGCTTGCTCACTCCACTGTTGGTTCCCGTGCTTCTCATGAGCCTGGTGCCCTGCACCGGCACCACCCCTGTGCCTGCTGTGCAGCAGCCTTGAGGCCACACGGTGTGTGATAATGAAAGTTGGGAACACTCACTGCTTCCCTGGGCCACGATGCTCCGCCTCACCTCAGGCCCTGAGCACTAGGGTCAGCTGCCTGGACTGACTGAGTCTCTGAAACCGGGAGCCCTTCCTTAGCTGTTCTCCTCAGGTATGGTCATAGCAACAAAAAGCTAACAAAGAGGAAAGGTTTATTTTGGCAGGATGGATCCATAGTGGTGAGAGAATTAATTACAGCAGGACTTTGCAAGGTAGAAAAATCTTAGAAACACATTGAGTTTCCCAGGAAGCCCCCAAAGGCTACATATGATGTTGGGCAATTTTAGGGATTTTTTTTTTATGTGTGTGTGTGTGTGTGTGTATGTGTGTGGTGCTGAGGATTGAACCCAGGGGTGCTTAACCACTGATCCACATCTCCAGCCCTCTTATTTTTTACTTTGAGATAGGGCTTCACTAAATTGCTTAGGGCCTCACTGAATTTGCTGAGGCTGGCCCTGAACTTGCAATCCTCCTGCCTCAGCCTCCCGAATTGCTGGGTTATAGGCATGGCCACTGTGCCCAGCAGGCTGGGACTTTGTGTGTTTTGTTTTGTTATTGTTGACTCCTTGTGTTGAGAAGGCATGTGGGAAATGCTTCATGAACGTTTGCTGAACGCCTGGATGATGGGCTGTGATAGGTAGAGACCCAGACTTGTGCTCAAGGCCCGAGACAGCTCCACAGTAGGTGACAGCTGTGCTTTGTATCCAGGACAGCTGTCTCAGGTGTCTGCACAAGGTCCTGAGGTCTCTGGAGGAGCCTCGGACAGCAGGGAGGTAGAGGGTACGTCAGAGTCTTTGTCCACCAGCAAGTCAACCTGCCTGTTAGGTCCAGGAACATAGTGGGTTCAGGCTGGTGGTCAGCAGGCCCTGCATCCAAAAACAGTCTTACAGGGCAGGCCAGAGAGCTGAACCTCATGCTACCAGCAGGATGAAAGACCTCAGGTAACGGAAGCAGCTCATCTGGCATGGTGAGGGGGCCCCGTGGAGGGGGACATGCTGTGTGAACTCCAGGAGACCCCCTAATGTGCCAGGCCCTCCATCCCTGCATGTGTGTATAGATGAGGGCCTTAGAGCCCCACCTAGCTGTACCTCCCAAGGCTAGATTTATAAAATATACTTTTTTTTTTTTTAAGAACTAAAAGTTGAGAATTTACCCTCCTGGAATGCAGATGTAGCAAACCTGTCGTGGCAGTTCCTGAATCCTAACGAGTACAGTTCAGGTAGATCTTGACCTGAATCTCAGGAATCTCTAAAATTTAATTAAAACAAGCTATAAAAAAATAAAACAGCATTGTGCAATTCTAGCAGCAGATGACATACTCCTGAGCTCATCACCCCGGGAAAAATGCAAGGAAGAAGGGGTTGGCCTGAGTTCACCCTAGTCATTAGGAAATGGAAGTAACAGAGAGGGCAAGAACATGGAAGGGGGCTGGGGATGTGGCTCAAGCGGTAGCGCGCTCGCCTGGCATGTGTGCGGCCCGGGTTCGATCCTCAGCACCACATACAAACAAAGATGTTGTGTCTGCCGAGAACTAAAAAATAAATATTAAAAAAATTCTCTCTCTCTCCCTCTCTCACTCTCTCTTTAAAAAAAAAAAGAACATGGAAGAGACCCACACTGGGCAGGCAGAGTCACAACTGAGCAGCATCAGAGCTCTTACTGTAATTTATGACTTAAGGGCAGTTTTTGTTTTTGCTTTATTTTACTTTATTTTAATTTTTTGCAATGCCTGGGATTGAACCCGGGAACTTGTGTTCTGCCTGAGCCACACTCCACCCCAGAGGGTGGTACTTTTAACGTTTTTGTTTCCTGTGTTAGAGAAAGGTTCATTACTTGTAATCATTAAAGTGCATTTGCTTTCCGGCCACACCTGTTATCCCAACCACTTGGAAGGCTGAGGCAGGAGGACCCTAAGTTCCAGGCCAGCCTGGACAACTTAGCCAGACCCTGTCTCAAAATGAAAAATAAAAAGGACTGGGGGTGTAGTTCAGTAATAGAGCACCCCTGAATTTAGTCCCCAGTACCAAACGATAATAAAGCATGCCTGCTTGTTTGAGAAGTCAGCAAGCCCTCCCTGTGAGCACGGAGAAGCTTGTCTGTAATGTGCAGAAATGCTGGGGCAGGCAGTATTTCCATTAAAGGTTGTTTGTTTATTTTTAAAAATATTTATTTTTTTAGTTTTAGGTGGAATCGGTCTTTTTATTTTTACGTGGTACTGAGAATTGAACCCAGTGCCTCACGTATGCTAGATGAGCACGCTACCACTTAAGCCACATCTGCAGCCCCCCTTTTTTTATATTTTAAAGGTGGGGGTCTCACTAAGTTGCTGAGGCTGGCTTTGAACTTGCGATCCTCCTGCCTCAGCCTTCCAAACCGCTGGGATTAAAGGCTTGTGCCACTGTGCCCAGCCTACATTAAAGGTTTTGATAAATGCGAAAGAAGTTGTTTTTTTCTGAAAATGGATATTAATGATTTTTTGTGACCCCACAGGGAGGCTGGGCATGCCAGGGGTAGAGGGTGTGCATGGCACGTGTGAGCCCCTGAGTTCCACCCCTAGCACCACAGGGGAGATGTAGCTTCATGTCTCTGTTGTCACCATTCTCTTGTTTGATTCCTATCACATATCCCTTTGCCAGCAGTCTCCCAGCTAGGAGAGAAATTGCATCTTTTCTTGCTGGGGTGTGTCTCTTCTTTAGTTACAGAACTGTGTGCCAAGTGAACAAGGAACTTTTATGAGTGCTTACTGCCTGGCCGGGGGTCGGCTTTTAAGTGGAGTGTTCAGAGCACATCATGGCAAGAGCATGCAACAGAGCAGAGCTGCTTGCCTCATGGCCCCCAGGAGGAGCAGGTCCCTGGTCCCCTTCCTTCAAGGGCATGCCCTTGTAGGGTGGAAAGGTGTCAGGTGTGCCCTAGGCTGGGGATGAACCTTCATCACAGTCCCTTGGAGGGGCACTTCAGACCCCACGTAGAGCAACTAACCTGTGGGATGTGTGGAATCTGCAGAGATTTAAATGGAATGGTTTCTGTAATTGGACAGTACCTGTTATAGCTTACCAGCTGGAATGGTGTTCCTAGTAGCTACTTCTGTGCTAATTGCCCACACAGGCCTAGGACTTCTGGGCTCACATGGTCTTCCTGCCCTAGCCTCCCAGGTCTCTGGAACTACAGACAATTATAACAGCTGATTTTTTAAATGCAGGTAAGATCAATATACAGTGAGAAGCACAGATGTGCTCTAAACATTTTCTTTTTTACTATATTTTTTTAATTGGTGCATTATAGTATGGTGGGATTTGTTGTTACATATTCATATGTACACATGTAAATTTTCTCTTCTTTTTTCTATACTACTGAGGATAGAACCATCCAGGGTCTTGCACATGCGAGTCAAGTGCTCTACAACTGAGCTCCATCTCATTTCTCTCTTCTGTTTTGAGATGGGGTCTGGCTAAGTTGCCCAGGCTGGTCTTGATCTTGGGATCCTCCTTTTAGCCTCCCAAGTAGCTGGGGTCATAGGCCTGCTCCACCGTGCCCGGCTTGTTGGCTGTGAGTGCCAGTGAGTTTTGGTGTGCATGTGCACATGTGAAATCACAGTGCGGTAAGGTCTAGGATGATTCTGTGACTTCAGGTTTCCCTTGGCCACCCTGAGGAGTCATGCTTTCATGTACACAAGGTCCTTTTGTGTCTAGCCTGTTGTGCAGGATGGACTGTGTTTGAGATTGACCTGTGTTGTTGCTTGTGTCCAAGTGTCCTTAGTTAGTACTATCCTATTAGGGACATCCCAGATACTATCAGTCCTTCTGACTGCCCTTGGTTTGTTTGCTGTACTTAGAACTAATATTGGGAGTTGGGTTGTGGCTCAATGGTAGAGCACTTGCTTAGCATTTGTGAGGCACTGAGTTCGATTCCCAGCATCACATTATAATTAAATAAAAATAAAGGTCAAGTACATCTGTTATTAAAAAACAAAAAACTAATATTGAGCTGGGATCCCAGGTACTTGGGAGGCTGAGGCAAGAGGATCCCAAGTTTGAGGCCAGCCTGGGCAACATAGTGAGACCTGTCTGAAAATTAAAAAAATAAATAAATAAAAAGGCTGGGATGTAGTTCAATTCCCAAATCACTAGTATGAGGGGGTTGGGGGGGACCAATATTCATTATTGTACTGCTTCACATAAAATGTAGCCACCCCCACCCCCACCGTACTGGGGATTGATTGAACCACTAAGCCACATCCCCAGCTCCTTTTAGTTTTTATTTTGAGACAGGTTGCCCAAGCTGGATGGAACTTGAAATCTTCCTCCCTCAGACTCCTGAGTCTCTGGAAAGACGGGGTGTCCACTGCACCCTGTGAAGTGTGGAAGGTCTGATCCTCCCCTTCACTCTCTTTCTTCCTAGATGTCCTGCATGTCATTTCTGCCTACTGTAGGGCAGGGTGCAGCTCAGTAGTGGAGCATGTGCTCAGCATGGAAGACACTGGTTCCATTCTCAGCAACACTGAAGGAAAACGAGGGTAGTTTTGTTGTTGCTCCTATTGCTTTTAATATTCCTATGTGATTTTTTTAAAAGGGAAAAATGGTCTTATACCTATGGTGGCACACAACTTAATCCCAGCTGCTCAGGAGGCTGAGGCAGGAGGATTGCAAGTTTGAGGCCAGCCTCAGCAACTTAGTGAAATCCTGTCTAAAAACAAAACATTTTTTTTTCAGAAGGGCTGGGGATATGGCTCTGTGGTAGAGTGCCCCTGGGTTCAATACACATACCACAAAAAAGTAAAATAAATAAATCTGGTGCCAAGGAT